CCTCAGAACACCTAAATATTAAGAACAAATGGTTGGAAAAGAACCAAAGTGTTGGGGCCAGCAGGTGGTATAGTGGTTGCATCATTGGATTTCCACATGGCCGACTGCAATTCCAGTCCCAGACCTGGTAGCTTGAAACTTATTCCAGGCACATGTGCATGCATACATGCCAAAGATCCTGGGAGGAGAATGAAGGAGAAAGGATTGTGTGTGGCCATCCCCCATGGGGGATGATTTCTCACTTTCTCTCTGTCTCTGTCTCTGGTGAGTACATGTATCCTAAGGCAAAAAAACCTATACAAAAAAATAGAGAACCAAAGGGATAGGGAAGAAGTGACTAATGGAATCTGTGTTAAGCTGTGTATCAAGGAGGATGAGGAGGTGATGACCTGTCAGATTCCGAAAAGGTTGGTAAGAACCAGGAGCCAACTATCAGATTTAGCGGAGGGGATCATGGTTAAGAGAGCTGCTTAGGAGAGTGGTAGGAGGTCAGGCCAAAGCCAAGTTGGAGCGGACTAGGAGAGAGAATAGAATGGGGTTGGAGGCAGTGAAGAGCACAGAGTAATAGGATACTAGCTGGCTGAGAAAGAGGTGTCAGACGGAGGTATTAAGAAGAGAGAAATATTGGGACATAGTGGTTAAGGTGCTGGAACCTGGCCGAGCAGGGTTTGAATCCCAGACCCAGCAACTTGAAAAATCACATCAGGTAGATGTGTGTGCGTGCCCCAAATCCTGAGAGAATGGAGGAGAAGGGATTGTGGCATGGTCATCCTCCTATGGGGTGATTTTTCACTTTATCTTTCACTGCCTCTCTCTGTCCAGCTCAGATATCCTAGGACAAAATCCTAGAAAAAGTAAAATAGACAAATATCAGCATGTTTGTGTGGTGATAGAAATGATCAGTAGAAGGAGAGGTGAGGAGAGAATTATTGGCATAGTGTCCAAACACTTAGTTCTTCTCACCTTCACTAACTCAAGATCTTACTTTTACTTATTTAAAGGGAAATTAAGTTATTTCTGTTTCGGCAGTAGGACTATAAATCTCTTCTTCCTCATTTTTAATCCCTTCTCTTTATTAGTAGGGCCAGCATAGTTTAAAACTGTAAGCATGTTAGGAAGCCTGTATGAATAGTTTTTGATAGCCATAATTTTTTTTAAAGAGGTTTCTGCTATAGGGCGGGTGCACTCTCCAGACAGACAGAGACAGAGAGACAGAAAGCGAGAAATCTCCCCCCCAGGGGGGATGGCCATGCCGCAATCCCTTCTCCATTCTCCTCTCAGGATTTTGGGCACGCACGCACACGCACCCAGCATGAGTTTAAGCCACCGGGTCCGGGACGTGAACTGCGGTTGACTACACGGGAGTCCAGCGACATAGCCATTACGCTAACTGCTGGTCCCGATAGCCATAATTTTGAAGAAGCATAAAATCAACTGGAGAGTGGGGCCAGCAGGTAGTGTGGTTAAGATGCTGGAGTCCCACATGGGCGACCATGGTTCAAGTCCCAGACCTGGTGGCTTTGAAAATCATACTGGGTGTATGTGTGTGTGCTCCAAATACTAGGAGAATAGAGGAGAAGGGATTGAGGCCTGGCTTTCCTTCCTGGGGGGGTGATTTCTAACTTTCTCTCTGTCTCTCTCTCTCTCTTTTTTTTCTTGCTGTAGGACGTGTGCTCTCACCAGAAAGAGAGACAGAGAGATAGAAATTGAGAAATCACCCCCCAGGAGGATGGCCATGCCACAGTCTCTTCTCCTCCATTCTCCTCTTGGGATCTTGGGCACACACACACACACACACACACACACACACACACGCACCTGGTATGAGTTTAAGCCATTTAGTCCAGCTCTTGAACCGTGGTAGACTACATGGGAGTCCAGTGATGGCGCCATTACACCATCTGCTGGTCCCAAACTTTTCCTCTGTCTCTTTCCAGTGATGTTATTATGCTAATTTCTCCAGGGAGTACACATCCCCTAAGGCAAAAAAAAAAAAAAAATCAGATAGAGATGCCATTGTTTCTGAAAACTCAGTCCAGTTATTAGTATTTCCTTTCAAATTTGATAAGACAGGTGGTCCCTTTTTATTTTTGATGTAATTTTATTATTTTTAAGCAAATATGTTTTTACTTTTTTTTTGGAGAGATTTTCGCTATAGGGCGTGTGCGCTCGCCAGACAGACAGAGAGAGACAGAGACAGAAAGAAAGAAATCACCCCCGACGGGGGATGGCCACGCCACAATCCCTTCTCCTCCGTTCTCCTCTCAGGATCTTGGGCACGCACGCACACGCACCCAGCATGAGTTTAAGCCACTGGGTCCGGGACTCAAACCATGGTCGACTACGTGGGAGTCCAGTGCTGTAGCCATTACACTAACTGCTGGCCCCTGTTTTTACTTGTTTTATTCTTACTTTTTATTATTTTAGAGACAGAGTCTCACCATCTTGCCCAAATTGGTCTTGAATTTGGTATCCTGTTGCCTCAGTCTCCCAAGTAGCTGGGATTATAGGCGCATTCCCTTTCACCCTGCTATTTTTTAAATCATTAACTGACACAAAATCATTGTACAAATTTATGGAGTGTGATTTTTCAGTACATCAGTATAATGTGTGAGACCAGTAGGTGGCATAATGGTTACGTTGCTAGACTCCCAGGTAGTTGCCCACAGTTCGAGTCCCAGATCCAGTGGCTTAAAACTCATGCCAGGCATGTGTGTGTGTGCATGCCCAAAATCTCGAGAGGAGAATGGAAGAGAAGGGATTGCGGTGTGGCCACCCCCCCCCAAGGGATGATTTCTTGCTTTCTGTCTCTCTGTCTCTCTGGCGAGTGCAAGTGCCCTATAGCAAAAACCTCTCTTTAAAAAAAAATACAGTGTTCAATGATCAAATGAGGATAATTAGTATATTCATTGTCTCAAACATTTACTATTAATTTGGGTTGGGAACTTTCCAAATCTTCTCTTTCAGCTTTTCTAAAATATATGTTAAATTATTGTCAACTATAGTTACTCTATTGTGCTATTCTTTTTTAAAAAATAAAGCTTAAACTAGCTTTTGTTCTCCTTATTTATCATGTAAACAGTTATTTTATAAGTACAACACTAATAAGCATTTAGTAACTATTAGCTCTTAATAAGGATTTTACTTAATGTAGCATTAAAATTAATTTGTTAGAAAATGGAACTGGTCTGCATATTGTTAATAGAATTCTTATGTACCTTTTAGGATATTAGTTTTGCATGCTAAACCATGTGAAATTACATATAGCACCCTTGACTTTAACCAGGTAGCCTTCTTTAGACCCTCTTTGTCCTTTTGTCTTCACATAGCCATGTTCATGTTCCCATCCTCTTCCTTGTCTTTGCCAGTCAGACTGAGCATTTCTTGCATTCCTAACTACTACTTCTTTTTTTAAAAATAGAATTACTTATTTACTTAATTCCATTTGTTATTATTATTTTTAATTTGACCAGTGACAGAGAGAGAGAGAAAGGGAAAGCGAGAGAGCAAACTGCTAGGTCTAGGACTTGAACTGTGGTCGACCATGTGTGAATCCACACCTTTAATTACCACGCCACCTGTTGGCCCCCCTAACTACTACTTCAAATTTAACTAATTTCTGGATCCAAAGCCTATGATGCTATGCTAATTTCTTTTATAGAGAGGTTTTTATTTGTTTTTGTTTGTTTGTTTGTTTTTTATTTCTTTTTGTTATGGTGCATGTGCTTGCCAGAGAGACAGAAAGCAAGAAATCACCCTCAGGGGGAATGACCACACTGCAATCCCTCTACTCCATTCTCCTCTCAGGATTTTGGGCATGCACATACACACACACACACCTGGCATGAGTTTAAGTCACCTGGTCTGGGACTCTAACTGTGGTCAACTATGTGAAAGTCCAGCAACATAACCATTATGCTATCTGTTGGTCCCACTAATTTCATAATTGTATATGTGGATAGTAGGAGAGAGAGGTTGAAATGTTTAGCTTTTAAGATTCCTAATAGAAGACAAGCCCCCTAGTGTAGTGGTTAAGGGAACCAGATCCCATGTGGCTGCATTTTGTATCCTGCCCTTGGAGGCTTGAAATAATGCCAGGTGCATGTGTACCCCAAATCCTGACAAGATGGAAAAATGGAGGAAAAAGGATTGTGACGTGACCATGCCCCAGAGAGGTGTTCCCCCCACCCCCTTTCTGGTAAATGCATGTGCTCTCTGGCAATTTAAACTAAAATAATAAAGATTTGCAATAGAGTAGACTCTTTAGACATCTTTTCAATCAAAACACTCAAGTAATTAGCATGAATGAATATTTCCCATAGATACCTATAATGCCCTTGAAGCATAACAAAGATGTATTTTGCAGTATTTTTAGTTTGAGATGTCAATGTTCAAGCCATTAATAACTTCAACCAGAACATTATATTTTACAGTTATATTAGCTAAGAACTTATTATAATTATGATCCTAACCTGAATTTTCCTTCTCTCAATCCATGGTGTATCCTGCCCTGCATTCTTTGTGTCTTATCCTTTATTGTCACTTTCTTGTCATTGAAACCACAGCTGTGTTTTCTGTCAGTTGTCCACTTGGTCATTTTACTAAATCTTTTTTTTTTGGAGAGGTTTTCGCTATAGGGCGCGTACGCTCGCCAGACAGACAGAGACAGAGAGACAGAAAGCGAGAAATCACCCCCCAGGGGGGATAATCACGCCGCAATCCCTTCTCCTCCATTCTCCTCTCAGGATCTTGGGCACGCACGCACACGCACCCGGCGTGAGTTTTAAGCCACCAAGTCCGGGATGCGAACCGCGGTCGACTACTTGGGAGTCCAGCGACATAGCCATTACGCTAACTGCTGGTTCCTGTCATTTTACTAACTCTTTAGGTTTCCTTTTAATCAAAGTGCATGAGCACAGGCATCCACTTCTGTACTCATGTTTAGATAGTTAACAAGCAGATATTAAAAATGAATCATCTTTCTCTCCCTAATTGTTTAGCTCTGTAAGAAGCATCATTTTGGAATTAACAAACCAGAGAAGATTATACCGTCTCCTGATGACTCAAAGTTTCTGCTGAAGACCTTTACGCATATTAAATCCAATGTGTCTGCTCCTAATAAAAAGAAAGTAAGAGTTTAATTGATATGGCTTGTGAATTCATCTTTGATTAGCTGTAAATTAAGGCATAATTTTCCTGCCAGTAAATTTATTTTCAAGTCATTTATTATATTAAAGCACTGTCTCCTCATGTCTTTGGGATTAGATTATTTTCACTTCTCTCCTTATTGTATGAAGTTCCTTCTGTTTGATATTTTGGAAATTGTGTATTATCCACACCATACCTTACGTTTAAATCTTGCAGTAACAGTAGATTTATTTTTTAATAGGTTAAGGAAAGTAAAGAAAAGGAGAAGTTGGAGAGAAGATTACTTGAAGAGTTGCTCAAGATGTTCATGGACTCAGAATCCTTTTACTATAGCTTGACCTATGACCTGACCAATTCCGTGCAAAGACAGAGCACTGGGGCGGGGGATAGCCGGCCCCTCTGGCAGAAGGTACCACTCATGTCTAAGAGTAGAGTTTATTTTCTGGAACAATTGAGAGCCTATGTTTTGACTTCTGTAGGAAAACTGAAATAATGTGTTTCCGAACTGCTCTTTTTCTCTCTTTTCTAGGTTGATGACCGATTTTTTTGGAATAAATATATGATACAAGATCTCACTGAGATTGGTGTGAGTAGTTGTTTCTAAAATATCTCAAGTTAGTTTTAGTTGTTAAGCAAAAGTTTTTTGTAAGTATATTAAAATACACTTTAAAATCTCATCGTAATGTTTTCCCTTATAGAATGGGAATCATTTTGTTAAGGAAAACCAAAGCATTATTTTAAGGCTGTTCACAGTTTCACTGCCTAGCCATAGGCCTGTTTAGCAAGTTCTTACAGGATACTAGTAAGTGTGGAACTAAAGTCCAGAGAGTTCCTATAAAAAAGGTTTTTTTCTTTGTACCCATTGATAATGTCAAAGCCCAGTTTTCCTGTAATGATACCAACCATTTACCTTCCCCGGATCTTTATTTTCTCATTTGCGAGTAGGAGTAGATAGGTCTCTAAGGCCATAGTGATCCTGCCTTATACAGTCAAAGAAAACAGAACATGACAAGATTATTACAGGGGGTTCCTTCTGTTTGATACTTTCTTTCTTCGCATATATGTTGGAGAATTGTAAATGTCCAAAGCGAGTTTATTCATTTGATCAACAGATATTTATGGAAGGCCTTCTGTGTGCCATTCACTGTTTAATACACTAAATATAGCAAGCAAATAGCTGAATAGGGTCATGTATTATCTTTTTATTAATCTTTCAAAAATTCCACACCTTTGTCCTTCTTGTTTGTTTTAGTGGTAGTGAGTGTACGTGATCATACTTTACCTAGTGGTGCCTTCTCTCTCTACCATGTCTCTATTGAGAGTGAGGTGTGAGATTTTTCTTACCACTCTTTCTGATACCAGTCAAAGACTGACTGCCATGACCTGGTGGTGGATGAGAAAAATAAGCATCTATAATGAGTATTTGTCTTGTATGCTGATAATATCAGGTTCTGTTTATGTTTTGCAGAGTTTTTTTCAGAACACTATTACAGTACCATTTAAAACTGATGACTTCCAGTAAAAGTGACATTTGGCAACGTACATTTTTTTGTTCTGTCAAGAGTTATACATTTATTGGAAGAACAAAACTATGGATTATGGTAACAGTGATAAGAATAATGAATGAAAATAGACCCTTCCTCTCACTAGTTTCAGCTCTAACCACCTTCCTAAGAGCCTATCTGCAGGCTCCATAAAATAAACCTGTAAGATAGGACCCTGGAATACATGTTGATGGAAGAAGATGTAGATTTGAAGTAGATGCTGAGTGAGGTTCAGGCTAGATACAGCTCTGGAGAGAAGAGAAAAAGCAGAACTAAGAACAACTTTCTAGAGCATTTTTTATTATTTCTTTACTCTGTATACAGTCAGTTGAGAAATCTGAGTCTTGTCACTTGAACTGTGGTCGACCATGTGTGAATCCACACCTTTAATTACCACGCCACCTGTTGGCCCCCCTAACTACTACTTCAAATTTAACTAATTTCTGGATCCAAAGCCTATGATGCTATGCTAATTTCTTTTATAGAGAGGTTTTTATTTGTTTTTGTTTGTTTGTTTGTTTTTTATTTCTTTTTGTTATGGTGCATGTGCTTGCCAGAGAGACAGAAAGCAAGAAATCACCCTCAGGGGGAATGACCACACTGCAATCCCTCTACTCCATTCTCCTCTCAGGATTTTGGGCATGCACATACACACACACACACCTGGCATGAGTTTAAGTCACCTGGTCTGGGACTCTAACTGTGGTCAACTATGTGAAAGTCCAGCAACATAACCATTATGCTATCTGTTGGTCCCACTAATTTCATAATTGTATATGTGGATAGTAGGAGAGAGAGGTTGAAATGTTTAGCTTTTAAGATTCCTAATAGAAGACAAGCCCCCTAGTGTAGTGGTTAAGGGAACCAGATCCCATGTGGCTGCATTTTGTATCCTGCCCTTGGAGGCTTGAAATAATGCCAGGTGCATGTGTACCCCAAATCCTGACAAGATGGAAAAATGGAGGAAAAAGGATTGTGACGTGACCATGCCCCAGAGAGGTGTTCCCCCCACCCCCTTTCTGGTAAATGCATGTGCTCTCTGGCAATTTAAACTAAAATAATAAAGATTTGCAATAGAGTAGACTCTTTAGACATCTTTTCAATCAAAACACTCAAGTAATTAGCATGAATGAATATTTCCCATAGATACCTATAATGCCCTTGAAGCATAACAAAGATGTATTTTGCAGTATTTTTAGTTTGAGATGTCAATGTTCAAGCCATTAATAACTTCAACCAGAACATTATATTTTACAGTTATATTAGCTAAGAACTTATTATAATTATGATCCTAACCTGAATTTTCCTTCTCTCAATCCATGGTGTATCCTGCCCTGCATTCTTTGTGTCTTATCCTTTATTGTCACTTTCTTGTCATTGAAACCACAGCTGTGTTTTCTGTCAGTTGTCCACTTGGTCATTTTACTAAATCTTTTTTTTTTGGAGAGGTTTTCGCTATAGGGCGCGTACGCTCGCCAGACAGACAGAGACAGAGAGACAGAAAGCGAGAAATCACCCCCCAGGGGGGATAATCACGCCGCAATCCCTTCTCCTCCATTCTCCTCTCAGGATCTTGGGCACGCACGCACACGCACCCGGCGTGAGTTTTAAGCCACCAAGTCCGGGATGCGAACCGCGGTCGACTACTTGGGAGTCCAGCGACATAGCCATTACGCTAACTGCTGGTTCCTGTCATTTTACTAACTCTTTAGGTTTCCTTTTAATCAAAGTGCATGAGCACAGGCATCCACTTCTGTACTCATGTTTAGATAGTTAACAAGCAGATATTAAAAATGAATCATCTTTCTCTCCCTAATTGTTTAGCTCTGTAAGAAGCATCATTTTGGAATTAACAAACCAGAGAAGATTATACCGTCTCCTGATGACTCAAAGTTTCTGCTGAAGACCTTTACGCATATTAAATCCAATGTGTCTGCTCCTAATAAAAAGAAAGTAAGAGTTTAATTGATATGGCTTTTTTTTTCATCTTTGATTAGCTGTAAATTAAGGCATAATTTTCCTGCCAGTAAATTTATTTTCAAGTCATTTATTATATTAAAGCACTGTCTCCTCATGTCTTTGGGATTAGATTATTTTCACTTCTCTCCTTATTGTATGAAGTTCCTTCTGTTTGATATTTTGGAAATTGTGTATTATCCACACCATACCTTACGTTTAAATCTTGCAGTAACAGTAGATTTATTTTTTAATAGGTTAAGGAAAGTAAAGAAAAGGAGAAGTTGGAGAGAAGATTACTTGAAGAGTTGCTCAAGATGTTCATGGACTCAGAATCCTTTTACTATAGCTTGACCTATGACCTGACCAATTCCGTGCAAAGACAGAGCACTGGGGCGGGGGATAGCCGGCCCCTCTGGCAGAAGGTACCACTCATGTCTAAGAGTAGAGTTTATTTTCTGGAACAATTGAGAGCCTATGTTTTGACTTCTGTAGGAAAACTGAAATAATGTGTTTCCGAACTGCTCTTTTTCTCTCTTTTCTAGGTTGATGACCGATTTTTTTGGAATAAATATATGATACAAGATCTCACTGAGATTGGTGTGAGTAGTTGTTTCTAAAATATCTCAAGTTAGTTTTAGTTGTTAAGCAAAAGTTTTTTGTAAGTATATTAAAATACACTTTAAAATCTCATCGTAATGTTTTCCCTTATAGAATGGGAATCATTTTGTTAAGGAAAACCAAAGCATTATTTTAAGGCTGTTCACAGTTTCACTGCCTAGCCATAGGCCTGTTTAGCAAGTTCTTACAGGATACTAGTAAGTGTGGAACTAAAGTCCAGAGAGTTCCTATAAAAAAGGTTTTTTTCTTTGTACCCATTGATAATGTCAAAGCCCAGTTTTCCTGTAATGATACCAACCATTTACCTTCCCCGGATCTTTATTTTCTCATTTGCGAGTAGGAGTAGATAGGTCTCTAAGGCCATAGTGATCCTGCCTTATACAGTCAAAGAAAACAGAACATGACAAGATTATTACAGGGGGTTCCTTCTGTTTGATACTTTCTTTCTTCGCATATATGTTGGAGAATTGTAAATGTCCAAAGCGAGTTTATTCATTTGATCAACAGATATTTATGGAAGGCCTTCTGTGTGCCATTCACTGTTTAATACACTAAATATAGCAAGCAAATAGCTGAATAGGGTCATGTATTATCTTTTTATTAATCTTTCAAAAATTCCACACCTTTGTCCTTCTTGTTTGTTTTAGTGGTAGTGAGTGTACGTGATCATACTTTACCTAGTGGTGCCTTCTCTCTCTACCATGTCTCTATTGAGAGTGAGGTGTGAGATTTTTCTTACCACTCTTTCTGATACCAGTCAAAGACTGACTGCCATGACCTGGTGGTGGATGAGAAAAATAAGCATCTATAATGAGTATTTGTCTTGTATGCTGATAATATCAGGTTCTGTTTATGTTTTGCAGAGTTTTTTTCAGAACACTATTACAGTACCATTTAAAACTGATGACTTCCAGTAAAAGTGACATTTGGCAACGTACATTTTTTTGTTCTGTCAAGAGTTATACATTTATTGGAAGAACAAAACTATGGATTATGGTAACAGTGATAAGAATAATGAATGAAAATAGACCCTTCCTCTCACTAGTTTCAGCTCTAACCACCTTCCTAAGAGCCTATCTGCAGGCTCCATAAAATAAACCTGTAAGATAGGACCCTGGAATACATGTTGATGGAAGAAGATGTAGATTTGAAGTAGATGCTGAGTGAGGTTCAGGCTAGATACAGCTCTGGAGAGAAGAGAAAAAGCAGAACTAAGAACAACTTTCTAGAGCATTTTTTATTATTTCTTTACTCTGTATACAGTCAGTTGAGAAATCTGAGTCTTGTCAGTCTGAAAGACACAGAAGAGGAAATTTCTAACTTTAATCAATACTCTCCTAATTATGTTGGGTGACATTTTAAAATAAGACATTTATGAAAAGGCTTTCTTTTTTTTTTTTTTTTTTGAAAAGGCTTTCTTTTTGTTCTTACTAGAGAGCAAGTGTGCTTGCCATGGAGAGACAGAAAAAGAGAGAGAGGGAGAGGAGAAAGCACCTCCTACCGGAAGTGGTCACATCACAATTGCTTCTCCTTCATCTTTCTCTTCTTTCAGGATTTTGAGTGTGCATGCACATGTGCCTAGTGTTTCTCAAGTCCCGGGGTCTAGGATTAAAATGACAAGGTTGTTCATGTGGTATCTGGCTGCCTCAACCACAAGGCCATGGAGCAGATCCAGAGGGCATTTAGCAAGTTTTTTCCTAAACTAGAAAATAAAGTAGACTCAACATGTTCATAATAAAATGATCAGAGTTAGTCACACTTTGTGAAGGCCTAGTATAATTTAGTGTTGAAAAATCAGCCTGTAAGCTTTATTTTTCTATACTAAGAGGAATAATCATAGTAACTATATTTGTTAAATGCTATTTGGCAGACACTGTGCTAAACACTTTACATATATTCATTTGATCTTTGCAACCAGCTTAGGAGGTGGTAGTCATTCCTATTTCACAAAGCACAGCGAGTTTAAGTGATTTCCCTCAGTGAGTTAATACATGGTGGAGCTTAAATTTGTACACAAGCGGTCTGGCTCCTACGCTATGCTCTTGCTGAGTCTGCTCTTTTTGAATGATTACTGTAAGAAAAGGAAAGGAATGCCTCTGCTGTACTCCTTCCTCAGTGTTCTCCAGTAAGAAGAAAATATGGTTGAAGAACGGGAAGTTTCTGCTTCTGAAAAACTGATGAATGTATGCTGACTACTCTTGGGTTTAAAAATGTAGAAGGGCTATCCAGAACAGAAACAACGTGATGTCCGTATTGTTTTCAGACACCAGATGTGGACTTTTGGATTATTCCCATCATCCAAGGTTTTGTGCAAATTGAAGAACTTGTGGTTAATTATAATGAGTCATCTGATGATGAGAAAAGCAGCCCAGAGACCCCTCCTCAGGAGTCTACCTGTGTGGATGACATTCACCCACGATTTCTAGTGGCTCTCATTTCACGCCGAAGTAGACACAGAGCAGGTGAGTAGAGCACTTGGTAGCATTCAGATCAAATCCAAATGAGAATGGAAAAGCCGCAGATGTGTTGAAATGCTAATGACAGTAATGGATTTGGAAGCATACTTGGCTTCAGAGTGCTTGTTGACTCTAAACACTGTGATATAATTGGGGACTAATTTTTAAAGAGTGTTGAGTAGGGGAAAAGTTAGCAGAATGGACAGAAAAGAAGACATATGTGAAGAGAAGAAAGTCACTTGAGATGCGCTTCTGAATGCTAGCATTCCAATTGACAGCCTGTGTCTTAGTGATAAGACCTTCCTGAGTGCTCGCACCTCTGGGAAAATCCCTCTCTTTCAGATTAGAAGAACCATTATAGTTTAAACATTTAAAAAACAATGGAACATATAATTATGATTTTGGATGTTGATACTATACTGGTTGCTGTGTTTGTGTTATACATTGGACCCCCAAAGCTATCCCAGAAGACATACATTTAATTAGGATGCATCATCTAATCAGACTAAGTGAATTTTAAAAAATAGTGTTGTTCTCTATTTAAATTTTCTTCAGGCATGCGGTATAAACGAAGAGGAGTTGATAAAAATGGAAATGTTGCAAACTATGTGGAGACGGAGCAGTTAATTCATGTTCATAACCATACCTTGTCATTTATTCAAACACGAGGCTCTGTACCTGTTTTTTGGAGCCAGGTTGGATATCGATATAATCCAAGACCTCGGCTGGACAAAAGTAAGCAAGCATGTTGACTATTTGGTTTGAAAATGATACTTTTAGATAGATTTGGTTTTGGTTTTTTGTTTGTTTATATTTAGATCCTGGTTAGGTTTGGATTTACTTTGCCAGATACTCCATTCAAAACAATAACTTGGGCCAGCTCGGCCAGCTCATGGCCTGGGGTTAAGGTGCTGAATTCCACAAGGCTGAGCACATGGTTCAAGTCCCAGACCTTGTGGCTTTAAAAACACACCACACTGAGTTTATATAAATGTCTGCCTAAAATTCCGACAGGAGGGAGAAACAGGCAAAAGGATTGTGGGGTGACCATTTCTCATGGAAGGATGCTTTCTCGCTTCCCCTTCTACCCCTGTCTTGCTTTAGTGAGCACACATGTCATCTGCTAAGTTAAAAATCAGAAAGCAAACAAACGAAAAAACTTTATACTGCGTAATGTAATAGAAAGTGATTTAATAATTATAGCACTAATAATAACTAAGTCAAATTTATTTAATAATAAAAACTTTTCCAACAACAGAACACATAGCTTTTTCACAGATTTTACATTGCTGTTGCTTTGAAGAATACTTTATTGAATGTTTAACTTTGGAAAGGGTAAATGTGTTCAATATTTGTAGAAGCAGGAAATAACAAGATGGAGTCTATCAAAAATCAGTTAAGATATCTTTATTCAAATGTCTCTTTGTGAAAAGTTTTATGGTTGGTACTTTCTTTTTTAAGTATTGAGAGTTTATTTCTTTCAGTATTTTAACTTTAGCAGTAGAATAGCTAAGTTATTTAAATCTAACTAGGAATGAGACTGATTTTTAAAAAATAGTATTTTTTCCTCAAAACTTACTTTGTATTCTTTGTGAGAATTCAGTTTAATTTCTGTTTTTAAAATACTGTTTTAGAGGGATTTTTATTCTTTTGTTATAAATCATGTGATACCTTTCTTGAGAAGTAGACTTACTATTATACATAATAAATGTCATACTTTCAAAGTTTGTGTTTGCAGGTATGTTTTAGTCTCATTGGGAAGAAAGTTGGAACTCTTTGGCTTAGCATTTCATTTTAAAATGATGGTTTTAGATAATCTTAGTTACATTTAGGCTATCAGTTATTTAAAAATAAGAATAAAGATGAAATAGACACTAATTTCTGTATTAAACTTGGGAATTAAAAATAGATGTCATATCACTTCTTTGTAGGTGAAAAAGAAACTGTTCCCTATTTCCGTGCCCATTTCGAAGAACAATTGAAAATTTACAAAAAACAGGTGGGCTTTAATCTGTAGTTATATAATGTTCCTTCATGTTTAGAAATGTCTGTGTATTTCTTTAAATTTCATGAAATAAACAGCTTACTAGTCATAATTACACAAAGCATTTTTTTTTTTTTTGGAGAGGTTTTGCTATAGGGCACGTACACTTGCCAGAAAGACAGAGAGACAGAAAGCAAGAAATCACCCCCAAAGGCGGGATGGCCACGCCACAATCCCTTCTCCATTCTCCCCTTGGGATCTTGGGCACACACACACACACACACACA